CGGACACATCCCATCAGCCAAAAGCAGTCACCAGAAGTCTGTAAATCCAGAATTAATCCCACTTGCCAATGATATGGAAGTGAAACGCAAGTCCACACCTCACTTGTCCACCATGTAATGTAAATGTGCAGCGATATACAGACAAAATGTGCCATTATATGTATCTCCAGATATATAAGCATGTTGCATAACAAATCAAAATAAACAGACCGACATAATAAGTGACAATAAAAGTGAGAAGTGAATAAAATCACCAGCCTATTGTAGTAACCATTGCCTAAGCATGAAGAAAAGAATATCGTAAACCAACCCAAATATTGTGATACCAAGTAAACAAATATTGTATAAAAAAAAAAAAACACAGTCTTAGGTGGATACAATATATGTTCTACTTGTAATAAGCACAGAATGCCATAGCTCCACATACTTACTAGGGTAAAGATACAAAAATACAAATAACCCCCAAAATATACAAAAAAAAGGTGGCTGCAAAGAGGATCCAGGTCAAAAGTGCATTCACTGACCTTGATCCAGTTCACAATTACAGTGAGATTATTTCCTAATAGATATTCCAGCACTAATCAACCTCAGCGTTTTCCAAACGTAAACTGCTGCAGTGTCAATATACACACTTCCCTGAAAGCTTCTACACATAACATCAGGTGTCAGAAACACAATATAACAGTAGGTAATTTACAGTTCTTCTAAAGTCTATTTCTTATGGGAAGTATTTGTCAAAGTGATCTTAATCATTAGCTGGTTTAAAACAAGTATACTTTTAAAATTAGATTAAATATACCTTTTAATTCCTACATTAACAGAAAGAAAGGTTAAAATGTGTTTTCTGCCTGTGCATAGTAAAAATATCTTTGTATATATGCATTTTGCTCTGATTGCACACACCACTGATTGACAAGTTCTCAGCCAGTCAGTGGTGTTTGGTGGTGATGGTCAATAAGAAACCCTTCATGTTTTTTCACTTAAGTGAGAATTGACATGTATTTAAAATTAATTAAAATTTTAAGGCTAAAGTAGTCAAAGTGTAGGTGCATTGGAAAATCTTTCGAGTTTTGCTATTGTCAACTTAAATTTAAAACTCCCTTTGAATTCCGAGCAATGCTCACTTTAATATATAACCATGCTAATGTTTATAGAACATCACAAGGGAACCTAGTTGCCGTTATGTCTATTAATTCTATGTGGAAACGAGTCACGAGTCTAACAAATTAGACAAAGTAATACAAATTTTGATAGGAACAATAGGTTGATGAGGACACTGCTCGAACAATCTTACAATTTAGAGTTCTTCTTATGTGTAATCTTAAATTGTTAAGAAGACAAGGCAAATACAACTCAGTGAATATTTAAATGAAACAATGAAGAGTCTTATTTAATAACCAATTCATTTTGTAGGAATGCATGCTTGAGACGCACTTACATCTCTCTGGTGGTGATCAGAAATGCAATCAATTAAGGCACATTTCCAGAACACTTACCAGCTGTACAGATCTGCGGATCATTAAGGTAAACTGTAAGCGAGTGTAATTCCTAATCCTATTGAATTAAAATCTCATTATTCTCTGCCTATGAAGAAAGAAAATAACTTGCACGTTGTTTTACAACACCCCATGGAGAATGCAACCAAGGCTGAAAACCATCGAAATTATTATTAGTGCCTTATGCATGAATTTTAAAGACTTGCGAGGTTCAATTAAATGAAACAACAGTTTACACAGGTATATGTCTGTCTGACTCACATCAGACTCCAAGGAAACATGAACAATTTACAATTTTATCCTAAACATGTTTGACACAGACGATTCAGCCAGAGATCAGTGACACTCAAAATTTTAGACAATGATAGTTTTCAAGTGGTAATTCCATTAATAAACAATGTTCTTCCACTTGGGTTGAGAGATAAAAAAGAGAACAGTTTGAGAGACAACAGAGAGAGAGGGAGAGCCGGAGGAGAGACAGTAGAAAGTGAGACAGAAGGAAGAGAGAAGGTAAGAAGATTAGATGATTAAAGCGTTGCTACAACATGGTAGCATTTGTTTTCATATCTTAAATAAAAGTCAGTTTAATACTTAGTTTCCAAATTAGGAAATGCAATTTAAGAAAAAAATCTGACTAATTAATCTAGTCACCATAATAACGATTGCGTGGAATATCTCTCAGCAAAGTATTAGATAGCATGCAATCTAGCACATTTCACAAGTAATGATCCAGCCTGGAAGTAACAATGGCTCATCACAGCATCCTGAAAGAACTCAGCATGAAGGGAAGTAGAGATGTGGATACAACAGTCACCATCACTGAGAGAGTGTAATTAAAGCAATTATTTAATTGCTTTTTTGGCATGAAAGTGAAAAAAGGAAAGTTTGAAAATAAATGACTGCAAAGTCAAAAATGAGACTAAAATTAGAACTACCAAATATTTCTGTAGAAAAAAATAGGACTCGCACTGTATACGTAATGGTATAATGATTGATTAGTACACAAATTTTAAATAAAGGATCCAAGGTAGCAAAATTAAAATTATTCCAGCCATGTACCAGTGACAAAGGATGGATGGACTACGCAAGTGACTAATGTTAAAGCGCCCCTGCCACCATCAGGGAACTTTGACGAATTCACAAAGACCCCGACAGTGACATCCCCACTTGGGATCCACTAGCCGACGTGCGCAGGTAAAGGTGAGATTTACTTACCTGAACCTGTCCCTTGCTGGCACCACCACAGCACTAGGAGCAGACGGCGTGACCAAGAAAGTGCAGCATTGAGGTCTATGGAGGAGCTCATGGAATGCACCATAGACAAAGCCAATTCCTTGCAGCAGTCACTGGTGACGACTGTCGAGATTGACACTTACACTTTGTCCTTAAAGTCAGGCAGAGGAGAAATATAGAGAAAAAATAGTCACTACTTTGTCTCTGTATATCTCTTGACTATGTTGGAATCTTCATTTCCTAGCTCGAATTATCACTGTTGCACTGTTGAGTATTATAGTAAGTTAAAATGATTAACAGATATGGTTTAATGTGTCATTAGCAGGGGGGGAAAAAGTATAATTTACTATTATTGCGTTGGGGCC